AGGAGCGTCCCAACTGCACGGGTCGGGACCCTGACCAAGCGTCGCTCCTGGACGTTTATGGAGTGAGAGTGTGTTGTTCATTCATATAATATCCTCTCATCTTGTCAGCACTCAGCAGAGACGATCTTTGATCTTTGCTTCGCCACTACGGAGGCCGAGAGTCTCAGTTATCAACACACATGGAAGTCGAGGAGAAAGAGAAACACAGCGCACCGAAAAATACCTACAAATCAAACGTTTGGCACTTCGGATTTTTCAAGAAAGACGGTCAACTTGAAAAATCGCTCGCAAATTGTAAACGATGCTGTGCCGCTTTAAAGTACACAAGTAGTACGAGTAACTTAGCGATGCACATAAAGAGGCGACATGGGGTCTGCGGCTGAAAAGAGAAACCTGAAAGTTAGTGAAATCACTCAGTGAGGTGTTCTGTCAGTGAGAGTGGTGTTTAGTTTACAACAGCCTCTGACTGCCAATAATAGTTTAAATGTCTTCCTTACAATTGTAAGCAGTTATGAAATACCTGTTTGTGAAAGGTTATTTTCTTTATTGTTCATATAGAAACCACACCACTGCTTTCTGCTCTCTGGTGAGTTAGCCTATGAATGAGTGTTAAGCACATCAGGCTGACAGTTGTATGGGCATTGCACTATGGTAGTTGTTATTTGCACATTGTTAATCATGGGCAATGCATCCTTAAATTGTTTAACTGTGAGGTGTTATACAATTGTACTTTACTCTGGAGAGTGTTTTAAGGTAAAAAAGGTAACAAAGAAACAGCATGATGGGATGTGCAGTACTAGTAGAGAGAACCAAATATGTAAAGCACTTTTTTGTTAATGTATGATTTGCTGCATATAAGGAATAAAACAAAAATCCCCTGTCGTACCATATTGAAGTATCATTATTTTGCATCGTGTTGAATCGCATCGTATCGCCCCGAATCGCATAATGTTGAATCAAATCGTATCGAACTGTATCGCAACAGGGGTGAATCGTATCGTATCGCATCGCCTGGTGTTTCAAATGTATCGTTAACCTGTTAAGCACCATGCCTGTTTTTCAGGTTTCAGGCTCGAAAATGACATGCCCAAAACAAATGACTATAACTTAACTTCTAAAAGGGTTATATGAATAATTTCTTTTATCAAAGCAAGGTTACATCTGTGAGTTGGATGTAGAAGTGTCAGAATCAATATAGATTTTTCTCAGTCAGAGTAAATTCAGATGGAACATAGTAAAAAAAGGTAAATTCTTACCTCCGCCTAAAGAAAACCCATTACTTATAGTGAAAACCACCCTTGGATGATGGGTTAGTAGACTAAAAGCTTTAGGAATCCAAAGTATAACATATAATAAGTACCCTGTATCAAGATTGAGGCAAAACAAGTGAAATTTGACCTTTTTAGAGAGGATTAGTAAAAAAAAGTCCAGGCGGACTAACCTTTGGGCACATTTGGGCACGTTTGGATACCATCAGTGCCATTTGACCTTTTTCAGGTACCATACCGTAAAAATCATTTTATTATCACTATAGGTATTCATTCCATCAAAATACAAGTTTTTTATAAACATTTTTTTTTTTTAGATTTTAAAATAATTTTTTTTTTTTTTTTATTGTTTTAAATTACATTTCTTTTTTTTAATGTAAATGGTGTGTGTGTGTGTCTGTGTATGGACTTTTCCACAGTCCTTACATGTTTATCACCCGACTAACACTTCTAGGAAGGTTTACTTACACAATAAAAATTAGGAAACATAGGATAAATTTGTCTCCAACAGGAGCAGATTTATTTACACAACACACTATAAAATAAAACTACACTAAAACCTAAATAAAACCACAAGCATTTTTTTTGTAAACACTCGCAAAAAAAAAAAAAAAGCAAAAATGTACACAAAAAGAAAAAGTGTTCAGTCAGAGGTGTGCCACGCCTTGAAGCAGTTCTTCTTTGAAGTGAGGCACAGAGGGATCAGGCACTTAGTGCAGTATATAGGTGTCTTTACCGTTTTGTTGCCAGCCTCAGAGCACCTCCTGCAGTACCTCCTGTGCTTGGTGGCATCTTCCCCATAATACGCAGGCATGCATACTTGTGATGATGGGGGGAGTGGTGGTGGTGCTGCAGGGACATCACCCCTCAATTCTGCAGAAAGCTGCTCCCTGAAGGACTTCTGGGTGTGTGGGTTCGTCATGCCGGGGTCAACCCTCATCTTGTGCAGCTCCTTGTGGAGAATGAAGCTGTTGAACACGGCAATGTCCAGAAAATGGTAAAAAAAAGTCTTGTACCATTTCATGGTTTTGCGGAGAACGCTGTAGTACCCAATCAAAGCATTGGACACATCCACGCCGCCCATGCTTCTGTTGTAGTCCACCACAGCGTCAGGAACGGTAACAATCTTAGTCTGCCACACACCAGCCCGTTTCACATTCCTCCTGACAGTCTGTCCACTGAAGGCTGCATGCACTGTGGAGCACATGGTCACTTCACGGCTGTCCATCCACTTTATGAACAGGAGCTTGCTTCTCCTTATCCAACGCATATCTCCCCTTTCAGCCTTTTTCGGAAGGTCGGTCAACTCAGTCTGTGGAAAACCAACTCGATTTTTTCGAATGGTCCCACAACAGCCAATGTTTTTTGCGAACAAATCCCCAAAGAGGGCAGGGCTTGTGTAAAAGTTGTCCACAAAGAGTGTGTAGCCCCCACCGAGCAGAGGGAAAGGCAGTAGGTCGACCACGGAGCTGTAGCTGAGTCCCTGGCCTGAGAGGAACTCACTCTTCCCTGTGTACACAAAGAAGTTCCATGTGTATGCCGTGGAGGAATCCGCCAGCACAAACAGCTTGTAACCCCACTTTGTTGGCTTATTCTTCATGTATTACTTCAAGCTTATGCAGGCTTTGGAGGCGACCATCCTTTCATCTATTGAAATGTTTTGATGGGGCTGGAAATGTGCTTTGCAGGCAGCAGTGATTTCAGTGTACAGGGGCTTTATCTTGAAAAGTCTATCGTACTCTGCGGTGTTCCTTTTGCGATCATTTTCTTCGTCTTCTTTCGGGTCGCTCATGTACAATGACCACAGGATGGCGTGGAAGCGTTGCCGGGACATCGTATCACCTGGGAATTTGAAACTATATGGAAATGTTGTCCTCCAGTAGTCCGATTGGTTGTGAACGCTAACTAGGCCTGTGAAAATGACAATGGACAGGAAAATATAAAAATCCTTGAAAGTCAGCACTTTCCAAGGGTACTTCTTTCCAGCCTGCAATTGATACAGGGCCTTTGTGTTTGTGTTGGCAATGATTGTATGAACCACGGCATGGCTAAAAAATAGTTTGAAAAGCTGAAGGGGAGACCATTGTGCAGTGGTGTCCAACGCTGGCCCTGGGACCCTGGCAGGCATGAACCTCAGTGGCTCTGGTGTTTGGTCATTGTCCTCTTTGTTGTGCCACCCGAGTTCTTCCTCTGTCGTTCTGGAAGAGGAAGACCCACCTCGACCTCGGCCACGCTTTCTGGGATTTACAGCTTTTTTCGATGCTTTTCTTTTGCTGGGCAGCTCAAATGATGGTTCCGAATCAGAAGATGCAGAGGGAGGCCGAGTTAGTACAGGTGCAGACATCCGGCGACGTAGCTTGGATGTTGATGGCTCTGTGGCAACTGTATGCTGATCTGATGCACGTCGTAGCTCGGATGAGGCAGATGTTGATGGCTGTGATCCAGAAGCCATATCATACTCGTCATACTCACTGTGAAAAATGTGGGAAAAACAAATCGATTACTTCACTGGCTTATTCTTTCAAAAATGTAACTCAAATCAGAAATAATTCCTCCATTTAGCGTGTGTGAAATAACAGTATATATATATATGATATACAATACAGCTTTATTTATATACTGCCGTGTTATAGTGACGAAATACAATTAATCTATTGATACGTGTTCACCAACACTGTGGGAAAAACAAATCGATTACTTCACTGGCTTATTCTTTCAAAAATGTAACTCAAATCAGAAATAATTCCTCCATTTAGCGTGTGTGAAATAACAGTATATATATATATGATATACAATACAGCTTTATTTATATACTGCCGTGTTATAGTGACGAAATACAATTAATCTATTGATAAGTGTTCACCAACACGTGTTCCCATTGTTTACAACAAAACGGCATCCATTTCGCGTACAGTAGGCCTATAGACTGCGTTGATATACAATACAGCTTTATTTATATACTGTTTTAATTAATAATTTATTTATTTATAATTAATCTATTGATACGTGTTCACCAACACGCATCTTCCCATTGTTTTTCGACTCTCAGAACGATTATGCGAGAACAACAAAGCGGCGTCCATTTTTTCTTTTGCGAGTGTGGAATTACTATAGATTACACCAAATACATAACTAATAGACACAAACAGAGAGAGTACATACCTTTCCCGAAGTTCATAATCCGGGTCTGATTGTGGCTGAAGTAAATCCTCATCTTCTGACGGAGAGTCAGCGAACACCATTTCCACGGCATCTTCAAGCTTGTACAGCCTCTTTCTGGGTGGCATTATTTGCTCAAATAAGTCCTAAAAGCAAATAAATCCTTGTCCTTGTCCTTATATATAATAATAATATTATGTTATGCTGTCGTCTCGGTTTTCTCTGTTGTCTCTGTGTTCTCTGTTCACTGTGTTCGTCGCTTCGTTCGTTTGCTCCTCCGGTGCTGCTGGCGGTGCTGCTGCTGCTGCGTCGTCTGCGTAATGTGGCTGGAGCTGGCATAATTTATGTTACGCAGGATCGTAACTCTGGAACCCATTGGTCGATTTGGGTGATTGACACCTTTTTTGAAACTTTAGAGCCAATAGAATCGAGCTGCAGTCAGTAAAACCGACTAAACAACTACGTGGAGGAGGGGGAGCTGTGCGTATACCTCGTGGGAGACAGCATCAGTGCCGGACTGCAAAACTTTATACCTACTCTGCTGCCATGAATGTAATGATAGATTATCAGGACCAATTCTAAAAGGACTAAGAGACTTTGGATTAACCTTGAGCAGCGTTTTTATTCCCTTGAACACGACTTTTGATCACAAAACAGCAACGGTAAGACAAAATTATTGTTACGGTTTTGAAAACTGTTGTTCTTTTCTTGCTCTGTTCTGGCTGCTAGCTCAGTGAGTTTGTGTCCTCCAGTGATGATACTTATATCAAAATAATCAGTGGAGTATCAGCTTTCAGATTATGTGTAGTTTGTGCAGATAATATGAAGGTATAAAGATCGTTTTTGCTAGTTAGCACCGGAAGTAGCATTTGCCCGTTTTGGCTAAGGGCTAATGCTAACGCTTCTTGTGAGACTTGTGTTTTGTTTCGGTAAAAATGGCTTGTATCGTCAGGTAGCTGAGTTTTTTCCCGTTTATTGAGTATAAGACATTCATAAGTTTTTAAATATTAAGAAGCCCCCAGACGCTGTCTCCTGCAGTGACGCGTTTTTCCGCCCGGTACCGGGGGGCGGAGCGTAACAGGTTAATGTATCGTATCGTTGGCAACGTATCGAGATGCGCATCGTATCGGCCTCAGTGATGGAGATGCACATCCCTAAAGTAGACGTCATTCTGTTGAATAGTATAGTCAACTACTACTAACATATGCTAGCTGCGATTTTAAAGATGATCTCTTTTATTGAGCCAGTGTGAGACGTTAAACTCTGGCTTCAGGCTGTACACACCTTGCTAGTATAGTCTCTGCTTGTATTTTCTTTGAAGATTGTCCTTTAAAACGCATTGGTTCGTGCATCGACCAGTCACTCTTTATTGACACACAGCTGGGTCCAGGTCCAGGTCCAGGTCCAGTTCCAGGTCCAGGTCCAGGTCCAGGTCCATGCTGCTGCCCTGGGCTTCAACACACGCACGCACACGCACGCACACGCACGCACACACACACACACACACACACACACACACACACACACACACACACACACACACACACACACACACACACACACACACACACAGAGCTTTGAGTGTGAATAATGCCTGCTGAGCTCTGGAGAAGAGGACAGTCAGAGGTCTTCATCTCACCTCTGAGCTTTGGTGAGGCGTTCAGGGTCCCCACTCAGAGCGGGTTCAGTGTCCTCACAGGGATTCATAGCAGAGCTCCCACCTTCACACACACACAACCACCTGCTGGAGAATCACACATGATCTCATCAGGACACAGAGCTCACACACCTCCAAACTAAACACACTCATGAGACAGTTTCCATGTTGTTGGCTCTTTGAGCTGCAGCGTCTTAAAGACCCTCTCAATGCTCTGTGGTCTTCAGAACGGTTTGAAGACTTCAGGAATATCCTTCATGTGGATTATACTTGGCCTTTCTATGCAGATCTCTTCTATTGGACGGACTGTGAAGAGCTCAGCAAGCCTTAAAATCTTCCTCTGTTTTAGAGGTTCATACATTTTAAACAGCCAACAGGAAACTTTGGAGTTCAGAGCAGAAGATTTGGAGGGTAAAAAATAAAGATGGAGAAAATAAAGTTATTGATTATTTTAAAAAAAGAACAAGAAATTGATGTTCTGTATTATTCTAGTTCCTTTAATAACTGACACAATAGTGTTTTGTGATAAAAAGAAGAGGCTGCTTGTTGTCCTGAGTCTGTGAGAAACCAGAAACCAGCTGCAGTTCCTCAGAGTGACCACTGGAGGTCCTCCCTTTACCTGTTTCCTGTTTAACTCCTCCTCTCCTCTCCTCTCCTCTCCTCTCCTCCTCCTCCTCCTCCTCCTCCTCCTCCTCCTCCTCCTCCTCCTTAGATCTGTAAACTGGTTTTCCTTCGTTCCAGATCTCACTAAGGTGAACACACCTTTAGCTTTTGGCACATATTTGAGCTTCCCGACAGAATTGAACACCTTTTTTTAGTTTGTTGACGTGTTTAGACTTGAGTTATTTGTTTTTTTATAGTGAAGACTAAGAAACAAAATGGCTTCCGTCCTGCTCAGCTGGTGTTTGACACAGAACACCTGAAGAGAAGACTACAATAGAGAAAGAGTCTCACACAGAAACTACAACCTTAATGTGCTCTGTGAAAACTGAAAACTTAGAAATATGTTGAAAGTCTGTCAACTAAAGTAATGAAACAGTTCCTGTTAAATGACAGTTTATAGAATATATACTAATGCCATCAGATACAGATATTGGCTGTAAGAACATTTTGTAACTTTACAGTCTAGTACAAGTACACTTCTTCATTATTAGGACACATGTAACAAGGTGAGAATACTGCATTAAGACGTTCAAATTTCACTGTTTAGACTTTAGATCAGAGTTCCTGAGGGGGGGGTCAGGAGGGCGTGTTGATCGACCAATGAAACGCAGCCAGAGTCTCTCAGGTGTTTCAGGAACAAAGGCCCAGGTGAGCTCTCTGATGGCTGCTGGGTCCTAATGCCTGCCTGCCTGCTGCCTTCCCCTCCACATCAGTAGCTGTCCTGACAGACTGACCCCCATCAGCCTGAACTCCTCTTCCTCCTCACAGGGAACTCTTTAAACTAACCTGCACTCTCTCTGCTCTCACAGCTAGGAGGCCATCTTGTTTCCCAGCTTTAAACAATCACACGTTCATCAACTCAAGCGTTTCTGAGACAACAACAATCAACAACGTCAACCAATCACAGCTCCACTTACTGAACTGTTAGCCGTGAGCTTCATCAGTAGCAGCCTCGTCTGAGCTTCATCAACTTCAGCGTCCATCAGACGAAGTGAAGTGATGGCGCTTCCTATCCTGAGTCTGTGTGTGTGTGTGTGTGTGTGTGTGTGTGTGTGTGTGTGTGTGTGTGTGTGTGTGTGTGTGTGTGTGTGTGTGTGTGTGTGTGTGTGTGTGTGTGTGTGTGTGTGTGTGTGTGTGTGTGTGTGTGTGTGGGTGTGTGTGTGTGTGTGTGTGTGTGTGTGTGTGTGTGTGTGTGTGTGTGTGTGTGTGTGTGTGTGTGTGTGTGTGTGTGTGTGTGTGTGTGTGTGTGTGTGTGTGTGTGTGTGTGTGTGTGTGTGTGTCCTCGCCTCACTATGACAGTTAGCAGTCAGACTGGTTGGACTGAGTCTCAGTCTGTGCTGCGTTCACAGGATCAAATGTGTTTGTGAATATAAATATTGGGAAGGGAACTTTAACAGAGTTTCCTGCTACTCTAACCTGCAGTGCCTTTTATCAAAACATAGGAAGTCATTACTTTTTTGCAATTTTGCAGAATAGTCCAGAGTGTCAGATTGGATTCTTTGCAGCCTCTGTTGTGTAGAGTTCTGCTTCCTGGACACAGCTTGAATATATACATTCATTAAAACAACACAAACTGATCTCATCACTGCTCTTAGGTGATCTGGTTTTTCATTTGTAGAGTAACCGCAGCTGTCAGATAAGTGTAGTCCAGTAAAAGTCCAACATGTACCTCTGAGATGAGTACAGGTATCTGACTCTCATTTCAGGTGTAACATCCTCTCGACCGCCCTTCCAACGTGTGTTATCTCCACCATCTCTCCCACATTTCCGTGCCTCTTGCCTCACACCAACGTTCACTTTGTCATGCTGGGGATTGTCAACTTTCAGACTCTCAGACATCCATTAACCCCTTGAGCCACACCACCCGGACGGATTGCAGTCACATTTTACCGGGTGGGTTTTTTTGTAAATTAGGGTTACGGCTAAAAGGGGAATTGGCAGCTGATACTCTGCTTTAGTTTTACTGGGTTATTTTCATACAAAGCCTTTGACCCAACAATGATGGATTCAGAAACACACATTTCCAGTGCTTTACCTGCTATAGATGGTATGTCTGCATGCTCACTTTATGCTTAAGACACCTCTGATCCTGCAAACTATCTGTTTGTCGTCCTACCCTCGGGGAGGCGCCTCAGGAGCCTCCGGTCCAAGACCAGCAGGTTCAGGGACAGCTTGTTCCCCAGAGCTGTTACCCTGCTGAACTCTGCCCCCTGAGAAACCCCTGCCCATACCCACCATCCACCTGTTTATATCTTTTACTGTCAATACTGTTTATACTGTACATATTCATATGTTTATAGCCTATTTATAACTTTTCTTATTATGTAGACACCTGCACTGCTATTTTGCACTTCTGGTCAGATGCCGAACTTACATTTCGTCACTAGTACATGTACTATGTTATGACAATAAAATGTAATCTGAATCTGAATATAGACTTGTTCTTATAGAAATAAGGATGAAGCTCGTTGTGCCAAAATACGCCACTATTTCAACACGTTCTAAGTAAAAACTGTGTTTTTCCGCGCGTTATAGTATGGTAGTTTATTCACACTTTACATAGGAATTGAATGCTGTTCTTCAGATTGGTAGACATCCATTCACCCCTTTAGATCAAATTAATAATTTCAAATCTTATTTTGTAATAGGTATTAGGAGTAAAAGTACTGATAAGTTTTTCTTGTGTACTTTTATTTCTGATCTATAAAGTCTATTTTGTTACTTATTCTGTTAGTACGATCAGTTTTTCTGTCTTGTATTTGTTTATTCCTGAACACAATGGATCAGTTGTACTAAGTCTGTGTTCTAATTATTTCTGTATCATAGTTTAAATTATGTTTGTGTTTGCTTTGTCGTCATTTCCCGTAGGATTTGTGCGTTTGTCTTTTATTCTTTTTCTGAAACCTTAAACTTCAAATGTTTTCTTTTCTATTTCTGATAGTCTTTTATCAATGCATTTGTTTTGTTCCATTCTGTTTGAGTGGTGCTTATGTGCAATATAATACTATAAAATAAGTATTTTGTTTGTGTACATGGAATGTAATGAAGTATTTTGGATAATGAGATATATATAAACTCATGCCTGATCTCGTATATCTCAGAAGCCGAGCAGGGTCGGGCAGAGCCATTGTTTTGCACATTCATGACACTGAAGGTCGCCCAGAGGTCAGAGTGTTGGTTCTTAATGTGGGGGCCCAGGGTTCAACACTCAAGAGTATTTAGTCTTGGCTCAAATTGGTTTTATACCATCTAGCCTCCTTGCAACCTATGGAGGACAGAACATGACATAGGTATAAATAAATACATAAATGTATGAGTAAAGAAAGAAGGTTAGTTTGTTCTGCCACTAGAGGTCACTTAATTAAAAACTATAACAAAAGCAGAGTTTGGGGGTGTCCATTGCCATTATTGTAGCCGTTTCTCCCAATTAGGATTCCTTCATTGTTCATGGGCTTTTTATCATGAGCTGAATAATGCATAGGTCTCTTCCTCTCCAAACAAACAGGCATGGTAATTAAAACGGTTTCAAGTCTTTTTCTGTTGCTCATTGGCTGCTGCTGTTAATGTTTGCTCAGCTTGTTTCTCTGATTACTCCAGATGTTCATCCACTTAACGCATATAGTTTAAAAGAGTAAGTTCTGAAGTGTCCTTAAACTGGATAAAATGCAAATTGATGACAGCTCCTAGAAAACAGTGGACGCGTGCTGACAGGAGATATGGCACTATTACAACTGTTCAAATGAAATGAAGGGTTACCTTTATTGAAATGACAGATTTCTGGTTCAAAAATGGTTTAAAACCTGTGATTATGTAACTACACAACTAGGCTAACATATATAGCCTGTGTCTCTTCATTTCAGATATTTTGATGTTGTAATGTGGCATATGACAGAAATAAATAAAAGGTCAAAATATGCTGTAAAAAACACAAAAGGGATCATGTCTTCGTCACTGTTGTTGTTGTTGTTGTTGTTCTCCTCAGATGGGTTGAGCTGTATGGACCTGACTCTGTGTGCACCTGCTGCGACTCCAACTGTAGCTCTGCTGCATCCACAGGTCGGTCATTGCTTCACTCATTTCCAAAATAAAACACATTCTGCTTACCGTTCATGTATTCAAAATACATTCTCAATGTCAACAAATAAAGAAATCAAGATGAAAAGCAGCAGTGCCATAATCCTACCACAAGGATTGTATCAGTAGTCAAAGACATAGCGTATTACTCTGTGCCATAGAGCACAATTGTTGTTGTTTATAAAAGATTAGGAACACGTTCAATCTTTTATTACCATGAACTCAAGCACTGCGGTTTTTCAAATACGGTATCATGGAGCAGTAAATAGCCACTAGTGTACAAATAGGTGTGATTTGCAGCTGGAACTAGTGTCCAGCAAATGCAACATTAACTCTGGTATATGTTCATTATACATATTGAAACCATAGACTGTATATATCAACTGATTGAAACACACCAGCTTCTGCTTTGAAGACAATCTAGCCCTCCTCTTTTTTTGTTTTTGAATGATTCTGTATGTCTTCCATTTTGTAAAGCACCTTGTTCCCCTATTGTAATAATTTACTAAATGTTTACTATCATTACAGAGTTTAAATATAACTTTGCCACTGCAGGAACTTCCTTTTTTAAATTAAATATGTAGGTTTTTACTGCTACATGTAACTGGATGCATGCAGTTTGATTCTAAAGCTATTTTTTATTTTGTAGTTTAACTGCCACCATGTGAATTGATTATATATTTTGTAGTTGAACTGCCACCATGTGAATTGATTATATATTTTGTAGTTTAACTGCCACCATGTGAATTGATTATATATTTTGTAGTTTAACTGCCACCATGTGAATTGATTATATATTTTGTAGTTTAACTGCCACCATGTGAATTGATTATATATTTTGTAGTTTAACTGCCACCATGTGAATTGATTATATATGTTGTAGTTTAACTATGGGCTCAATCAATCAATTCACATGGTGGCAGTTAAACTACAAAATATATAATCAATTCACATGGTGGCAGTTAAATATGGGCTCAGAACAGTCTCATAATACACACATGCACACAGAAGGATTCACACTTGTATTTCATGATCCACACTTGTGTTTTTCAATGCACACACAAATGTGTTCCGTTTCATATTCATGTAAATAAAATCCAAATACAGAAAAAAGTTTTACATATGTATTTTTGATCCTCACATATTTGTTTTCCGTTTAAAACCTCTGCACCTGCAAACACAAACCGCTTTCTGTGCATGGATCGCTGTGCATTCGTGTGTGGGTTTTTTGAGACTCCCCTGACGGTCACCCGATTCGTACTTGTAATTTTTTCTATCTATAGCCAATCAGATGTCTCCTCAATTCTAAGCCAATCACATGAGCGCGCCCCCACGAGGGTAGATTTCTTGCGTTCATGACACTTCATATACGCATTTTGCGCTGTCCGGAGCAGGGTTTCCGCGGACAGAATTTAATTTTACCGGACAAATTTGAAACTTACCGGTCATGTTTCAATAATAATAATAATAAGAATTGTGTAGCAGCGTTTCCATTAGGTAATTACCGGACTATGACCGGATAATAACACGGGAGTAAGGATCATCTCTTTTCCTCTCTCCCTCCCTCTCTCCTGACAGCTCGTCAGTTTCTCATGCAGCTCGCTAAAACTTCACTCGCGTTTATGTCCATATCAATCAGATCCAGCTCTCCTGATCGGCCTTTATAGAGAGCACCGATCAAACTATTAAGAGTGAATATCGGCCGATAATGACCGGCGGGGCTCCCCCCGTTGACAGTTCACTGTCTAGCACTGGCTTCGTAGTGCACTGATCGATTAGGCTAAGCTAACCTGTAGCTGCTCCCTCCACACTCACAACAACTTCATACAGACATAAATAAAGCAGCTGTATTCGCCATACAGGAAACACACATTTAAAACGGTTTTGCCTGCCGTTTTTGTGTACACAAGCATTCATTAATGGTTCGGAAAGTGGCACTGTACCTTAATAATATAAAGGCTTGTATTTGCGTGCATTTCCTGCTCGGAAAGTGGCAATGTACTGAGAGTGGAGGTGTCCTGAGATTAGCGCCTGCAGGCAGGCTCCATGGACCTGTCAGCTCCGGACAGCGCAAAATGCGTACATGAAGCGCTACGTCATGAACGCAAGAAATCTACCCTCGTGGGAGCGCGCTCATGTGATTGGCTTAGAATTGAGGAGACATCTGATTGGTTATAGATAGAAAAAATTACAAGTACGAATCGGGTCACCGTCAGGGGAGTCTCAAAAAACCCACACACGAATGCACAGCGATCCATGCACAGAAAGCGGTTTGTGTTTGCAGGTGCAGCGGATTTAAACGGAAAACAAATATGTGAGGATCAAAAATACATATGTAAAACTTTTTTCTGTATTTGGATTTTATTTACATGAATATGAAACGGAACACATTTGTGTGTGCATTGAAAAACACAAGTGTGGATCCGGAAATACAAGTGTGAATCCTTCTGTGTGCATGTGTATTATGAGACTGTTCTGAGCCCATATTTAACTGCCACCATGTGAATTGATTATATATTTTGTAGTTTAACTGCCACCATGTGAATTGATTATATATTTTGTAGTTTCACTGCCACCATGTGAATTGATTATATATTTTGGTTATTTCTAAAGTATTTTTCAAACAAACTATACACTTATATGAAAAATCTATATTTTCCAGTGACCAAGTAATCAGCAGCAGGCCGTGGACAATAGATCCTAAAGGGAAACCCACCACAGCCCTGAAGAGAAAGAAGGTCTCCACAGCAACAACAACAAAAGTGGCACCTCAGCCAGAGACGAAGAGCGAGGTGACTGAGTGGAGGAAATCTTCTCAGCCTGAAGAGAGAGAGGGTAAGGTGGAGGACTCTGGGGAGGAGTGGCCGATTGGAGGCAGAGGAGTGACCTGGGTTGAGATGGAAGGTGAGGAGGAGTTGGTGAAGGGCTCTGCTGTTGTGGAGAAGACGGAGAAGAAGGAGGAGGAGGAGGAGGAGGAGAAGAAGGAGAAGGAGGAGTAGGAGAAGGAGAAGGAGGAGAAGGAGGAGGAGGAGAAGAAGGAGAAGAAGAAGAAGGAGAAGGAGAAGGAGAAGGAGGAGAAGGAGGAGGAGGAGAAGGTCGCAGCAACTCGCACAATTTTCGAGGACATTTTTGATTTGGTCAAATAAAGCTGAAGTTTATACAGTGATACATTCAGTCTGGGTCATTTCATGAATCCTTACAAGCTGAAAGCATTAATCCAGAGGTTGATTTAAATGTTTTTGGTGCCAATGTTGTCTTTTATATTATTTATTATTACTACTACGTGTTTGAGGCAGACGTTAACACTGACTGTAAAACTGAATTGCATTTATTTGTCACTTGCTACATTCAGCATTTACCAATCGTCTCTTAAAACTAATAGTCAAACATATAAGTTGTATATTAAGCTGCAGCCCTTATTTGTATCCTAGCATAAATCAGCATGTTATAGGGCTTTAAAAACAATACACAATGTGTTCAATTGATAAGAAGTTCATTTTGACAGAATCAAGCTAGCAGTTTCCCACTTGTGTCAGTGTTTGTACTAAAGCTGCTGGTTTGAGCTTATTGCCAAACGAGAGAAGAATCAGTCCTATGTCACAAAAGTGAAAAGGCCAATGTGCTCAAATGTTTTCTATTCCTTTTAACAAAGTGCACACATGTAAAGCAATTTTTCCATTACCAAAAAGACAAGTTCCGGTACAAAATATGTATATAATAAAACCCAGGAGCCAATTTCCAGATACAAGCATCATTTATTAGCTTTACATCGTGAGTAAATGTTATATTGCTACTTAACCATCATTCTGTACAAATTATTTTACAAATGTCAGGTCATTGAATGGGATAGCGGCAGCTTCAACCTTTTTAGAATTGAAAATACAGTTATGCCATTCACACGGTAAATGCTATGACTTTACAAATTAAACAAGGTACTTACAAAATAAACTTGGCTTAATATCATTTGAATAACCGTTAATACAGTGTGTCATCAGTATATTCATTACAAATCTTGGAACTTCAAAAAAACGTTCCCTTCCTCCGTTAATTAACCCTCATGTCTTGTCCACTTTAAAGAAGTAATGTGACAAAGATGACATCTTAATGTCCTTTATATAAACAGACCGTAGCGTCATTTCACCTTCATTTTCAGACAGGGTTCAGCTCAGGTGCATCATGGATGGAGTTGCTGTCTTTTTGTTTGTAGTTTGGGTTCAGGTGGGAGTGGGTGGCGGGATGTCTGGTCATGGCTGACCCAGGATAGATGGGGCTGTTTGGAGAGTTCCAGTACGGCGATGGAGTTGGTACCCATGAAGTTCATTTTGGGCTGGTGGCTGTGGTAGGGCTGGGCGTAAGGCATCTCAGTCTGGTACTTAACAATCCCAACCCTCCGCTGAGTGATTCTGGTGCGCCTGCGAGATGCCTTGGAATTCAAACTTGTATTCACCTTAGACATGAACTGCTTTTCATAGTAGTAGTAGCGCAGAGCGCGGCTCAGCTTGTCATAGTTCATGTTGGGATTGTTCTTGCGTTCTCCCCAACGCTTGGCCACCTCATACGGGTCGGTCATCTTGAACTCGTCGTTGGTTCCCTCCCAGGTGATGATGCCGGAATTGCCGCTGTCGGACAGCAGCTCCAGCAGGAACTGCCACAGCTGGATCCGCCCCGAACCTGGGAGGAGAAAGTGAGTTAAATAATGTCTACTGACTTCATTGGATTGTCACACAAAGGCAGAACATGTGAACAATACCACTAGTAGATGTGTTAAATGTTTGTTTCTAAGTGATTGTTACTTAATATTGAAACATTTTTGAAGGATGTGATCATCCCTGAGCAAATGGAAATCCATGACCACTAGTTCGCCTTAACGAAAAATCGTTGTGCTAAATTATCTCTTGTAGAAGTTACGTAAAGCAGGAAGCGTTGAAAATGAATGTTGAGAATTTATTTTTCCTAATTTAGAATTTTTACTTTTTTCACTGATTTTTTTTCTCTAAATTTTTACTTTTTTTCTCAGAATTTTTTTTCCTCAACATTTTGACTGTTTTTAATCACATTTTTTTTAATCACGATTTAAAACCATTCGGCCATTCCCAGATAGGTTAACGTCTCACTTGGCCTGCTGATTCTGTCGCAGTGCGTTGAGGCATTTCCCAAGTATGAGCAGAGACGTGTTAATGTTCCCAGCTTCTTTCAGGCGCTCTCCTTTATTCTGAGTCTTTGCACACCGCTCCGATCCAGCCAGGTCACACAGACACAACCTGATGACAGAAGACGAGAGAAATTAGAGATCATTTTGCACAACGATGCCAGTCAGCAGCATACTTTAACACGTCTAAAATCAACATTTTAAAGTGCAACTCACTCGCTGACTGCGCAGACCCGCATAGTCCCAATGTCTTCAATCCTCAGTATCCGAATGGAGAAAATACTGTGACTGCAGACAGAAAGAAAACAAATTAAACGCATTTAAATTGTATAATATGCAATTGGGAGAAACCACTTGAAGAAATAAGAACAAAAACATGGAAACTTAAGACTCAGCGAAGACTTACTCTGCTCAAACGTTTAGGCAACGTAGCATTTAGTAAGACAAAAACCAAAATTGAGCAAGTGCTGAGGGAGGATGTATAGAGAAAGGAAACTGAGGGGTTACTAACTGTGTGTTTACAGGAACATAAAGGCGTCGCATAAACAGATTCACAGATAATTAAGTATTTTTCTTTACTGACTGGGAGAGCAACAAATCCATATAAAATACGAAACCCTAAAATAGGGGAAAACTGCCACTATTTATTTTATTTCAATAATTCTGTTCACAAACACATTTTATCCTGTGAACGCAGCACAGACTGAGACTCAATTCAGCCGTCACGTGAAGCACGATGTTCTGTTGCGCTTGTGACACCAGTAGCCTGCTAGCAAATTAGCTAACAAGCTAACTCGGCTGAAAAGTATCCACAAACTTTAGTTTTTCTTTTTTTGTACCATTTCTTGGAGGCAGGATGACTGCCGAAACAGGAATTAGAAACTTGGACAAACAACTCGAGTATCAATTAGCAGGCAAGCCCATGACCAAGTAGCTGTGTAGCAGAATCTACGATCTGAAGGCTTGGTGGAGTTGAAGCCCAGTATATAAAGCCCAGCGGATTGAGATTGACGGCAGCTTGGCACCTGCTCCCCAGACCCCACTCCTGTACTCAAGCACAGACACTCAAACTAGTGATGACGAGATGAAGCCTTATGAAGCTTTGAAGCTTTCCAGCCAATTGGTTCGCAAAAGGGTTCATCTCATGAGGCTTCATCATGGGCTTCATTTGAACACCAACCCCCCCTGTTGGTCAAAGTGTGTAAAACAGGCAGATTTGACATTTCAACAGTGTGCTCGATCTCATACCGAGTTCCCAATGAGTAAAGCCTTAGAATAACTCTAAACAACGAACATTAAATCATATTTTCATGTTAACAATATTGTGTTTATTCCAGTTTAATGATTGTGATTGAAAAGCCTAAGGAGGCTGGTAAACATTGCAAAGAGGGATTTGTATTCCTTAATTCGTAAACTTCACCATGTTGTAGCGTGAGAAAGGCTAAACCGTATCAAAGAATACATTTATTAACTACATCATCTCATTTAGCTGTAGCTATTATAAACAAAAAAATAAGTATTGACCAGTCGTTGAATCAGGGACCCTGCGGTTGATAGTCAACTGCTTTCCAGCTGAGCCACAGCCCACGCACTGAATCAACCAGAAAAAACGATATACTATTTATTCCTGTATTTATTCATTTATTTATGTTTTTATTCCTACATCTATTTATGCTTTTATTTATTTATACTTACAGTATGACATGTTCCGACCTCTATATAAGTGAGGGTCTGAGCTCTCTTAATTCCATCGTGTCACCGGGCCCAGGTACAGGAGGGGTAATATCGTTCTTATTATCCATGGGTAAAATGAGTGTTGTGGTTCAACCGATCTGAATCGCTTCCTGAAGCAGTCACGTGGTATTGAGGGGCAGCGAGGCTTCGTTTGTCATCGATGACGTCACTGGCCCAAAACAATACAAGCCTCGATACAAGCTTCACAGAAAGCTTCTTTGTTTTATTAAATGTTTTGAACTTTGTGATATGGCACACTGATGTGATTTATACAGAAGTGAAAGAAGTGATGAGCTCTACAGTTCTACACTCATACGTCTGTACGGTGAAGCTGTTCTTTTTCATCTGTGTGCTTGTGTAAAGGGACTTTTTGTAGCCCTTTCCTGAATTACAGCGCAGTCATTGAATCTTTTTCTAGTTCAATATTAACTTCAATTGAGCAAAAATAAATACAAAATATTTTCAGAATCAGAATTCCTTTCTTTGTCCAGAAAAGGGGAAATTCACAGAATTACAACAGCAGAAGTTTAGTGCAGAAAAAGTCTGTATATTAAAATATAACAAAGTAGGCAAACGTTATTAATATTAAAGAAACACAATAGCTAAAAACAAATAGTAAGTACACTATGGTTAAAAAAACTAGCAGTATACTTTTTAAACAAGCTGACGATACAAAATTGTAGAAGTAACTGGTACTGTTTACAGATCCTAAATAAATTGAAAAAAAATAGAGCTTAAATTGCACGACATTTTTAAACCTATCAGTGAATTTGAACGATTAATTTAAATAATTTGACCATTCATGTGAACATGAACTGGAAGCACTTTACTGAATAGCAGAGGGGTTATTGATAATTTAAAAAACTCCAATATAAACGTAGTAGTATAAACTGTAGAAGTGTGGGAAGGGAAATTATTGAATATTTGTGTATTATAATTGTTCGGTGTTGCACTTTGTAGACGCTCCCTGCATTCAGATAGAAGTTGTGCAGCTCGGAGGACGGTGTGTATTGGCTTGTTTTGATAGAAAAGAGGGGTTATAGCTTGTTGTCTACCTTACTGTGGTTGTTCAGAGACGACGATTGTGTTTGAGTTATTGATCTGTCAATATCTTTCTAACTTAACCAACTAGGAAGACACTCATCCCGCCCCGTAAAGCTAGTCCTATGAATGAAGACTCTCAGAGGGCATTAAAGCCTGTCTCTACGACCTCTACTTGTTATCCCAATGATATTTCAAAACCTATAGCCCTTTCTCAATTCTAATGTTCCCCTCCTCGAGTCCTCTCCTCGACTCCTTTCCTCGCGTCTTAGTCCCGCCCACAGGAGACACGAGCGGAGGAGTCGAGGAGGGGAACCGAGGACAAACACAATGTAAACACCAGTCTTTAGTACATTAGAAGTTCATGATGTTACTGCCAACGTTAGGCAGAGGTTAAGATCTGTACAGAGTTTCCACTTCATGGGGGAGCAGACGTGCCCCCTATCCTTTTCTGTAGTTCTGGCCAGAGAGATTTCATTTGTATTCAGAGTCCAGTATGTGTTTGTTTACCTGGCTCAGGGTTTGAGCCCTCATTCACACAGCGGCACTGGTTATGGGCTGCACTATTTCTACTATATTCTATTTTATTTTATTTACTTGTACTCTTTTATCTGTGTTATTGTGTTGCTCTGTGGGAGGAGCCTGTGACCTCAGATCTTCATTGTCATAACTAAACGGTAGCTATGCACACATGACAATAAAAGCCTTGAATCTTGAATCTGCGCCCACCACTGAGCCACAACTGGTTTCTGTCTCTTTCTTAAAGCAGCAAACAGAAAAGCTTTGTACACGACTGAGTGGCCAAAACACAAAGTACATCCACTTTTTAAAAATCTTTATTTTTAATGTATTTTATTATTATGATTAGTTGTTATGTAATGTTTTACCATAATTATTCATACATTTGTCTTTTACACTTTAAAACGAAAAAAAAAAACGTAATATTTGTTTAAAAGTCTTTCTATTTAAATGTATTTAATTTGTATTTTTATCACTATCTTGTTTTATTTAATTTTAATTGTTTTAATCTTAGTGTTTGTACTTTTGTATTTATTATAATTATTATTTATTTTTCTATAATTACAATTATTTGTATGTATTTTTATTTTTGTATTATTATTTCTTACTATTATAATTGTGATTATTTTGTATTTGTATTGTATTTTTTATGTATTTATTCGTCATACGGTTAAACTAAATAAATCTCTCTCCAAAAACAACTGCACAAAACAACAACAGAAAGACCCTATGTTGTTGTCTAAACTAAATGAAAGCTCAGAGAGCGCTCCCGTTTCAAAGAGGTTTCCTTTTCTTTAAATCTTATTTATTTGTCTGTATTTACATGTGTTTGATTTCTATCTGTATTTGTGTGTGAAGTGATGTTTGTAGCACTTTCCTGAATCACAGCCAAGATATTGAATCTGAAGCAAAAGCATATTTTCAGAATCAGAATTCCTTTATTCGTCCCAAAAAGTGGAAATCTACATTATTACATCAAAAGAAGTATAGTGCAGATAAAGTGAAAAGAGTAGACTGTATTTTAAAATATAACAAAGTAGGAAGACATTATTAATAATAAAGAAGCACAATAAGTCAAAACAAATAATAAGAACACCAAGGTTTAAAAAACTAAAGAGCAGTATATTTTTTAGATAATGTGACTCAACAGGTTGGTACTAACTATCATCAGCTGTGATCCTGTACAGACTGAACTATCTGGGCAGCAGGGAGGACGTTTCTGGAACAGGAGGAGACTCTTCCTCCTACAGAGGACACAGAGACACTGATCCAGAGCTGAACCCAAACCCAGCATAAAGAGGTTCAGTGGATGTGGTTCTGAAGGTGTGGAGGTGGATCAGTGTGTCAGAGGAGACTCTGTAGAAGGAGAGAGAGCCAGCAGGATGATCCAGATACACTGCTACTCTACCAGAGGAGGGGGAGGAGGAGGAGGAGGAGGAGGAGGTGTGTGTTACCATCTTATTGTGCCAGACATAGTAACCACCATGAGAGCAGTACAGACTCCAGGACTGATCATTCCCTCCAAACAAACAGTCCTCTCTCTTTCCTCTCCTCCTGATTCCTCTGTAAGTCACTGATATATGAACCTCTCCTCTCCACTCGACCTCCCAGTAACAGCGACCAGTCAGAGCTTCTCTACA